GCATTCCTCAAATTAAGTAAGTTACCATCGGCCATCGGCTCCCGACCGTCCGATTCTCCGACTTGCGCGACTCCAACTCCGCCCTGCCTTGCCTGGCTCCTTACATTCTTTCTTTCTTGCTTGCTTGCTTTCTTTTCTCTCCTGTGGCCCCAGACTGTTGCTCGGGTAAGCCTCAAAAATCAAGATGCAATCGTGGCAGACCAGCCCAATTTCCCCCGTTGATTCCGGGAGAAACGCGACCGGGATGACCTCAACTGGCCATCCGCCCTTGGCCCATGGCGGGCGATGATGACTGACTTCCCGCCGAATAGAGCCTGGCTGACCATGATGTGATATCCACTCCGCAGTCTCCGCGCTCCCCGATGGAGATCGATCCACGCCTGCATGCAGATAGCAGAGACGGCGGACGTCCGGCCGAGCGCGCCGAAACCCGCCCGCCGCCCTATCTACCACCCCCTTCGTCCAGACATGGCAACAACCCGCTTGTCGCTTCCAGAGATTATCCCGATTCGACTCCACATCTGTCTCCTACCGACCGGCTGCATTCCGTGCTGGTAGCACCTCGAGGCCCGGGTCCTCTTTCGAGCCCCCAGGTGACCCAACCGTGTAGCCAACACCGGTCGGATTCGACATCGGGCATCGACGCCTTTTCCAACCCCTCCATCGTCGACCCCAGCGACCCGTACGCGGAGCTGAAGCGGCCCCGAGCCTGCGAAGCGTGCAGGCAGTTGAAAGTGCGATGTGAGCCGGACATCAGCCATGCCAATGGCGCCTGCAAACGATGCGCGAAAGCCGGGAGGACCTGCATCGTGACGGTTCCCAGTCGCAAACGACAGAAGAAGACCGATAACCGCGTCGCGGAGCTGGAGAGGAAGATTGACGCGCTCACCGCGAGCCTTCAGGCCTCTCACGATCGTGATCCCGTGCTGCAGCCGGTGCAGATGCCTCCACCGCGCGAGGAGCCGGCAGCGAGGCATTGGCTGGCCCCGACTCATGCCGCATCCCATGAGCCGTCGCCTTTGCCGGTGGGATCGCCGCGGAGCATGGTGGGGAGAAAACGGCGTCATAGTGGGGAGGGCAAAGAGGCGACGCCCGCAACCTCTCGGGTGTCTAGTCCGAGCGAAGAACAATCCATCTATAACAAAGCGATCCGACAATGGCGTGCTCTGGGTTACCCGTCAGACTCGACGGCAAAAGAGGGGGCCAACGAAGTGGCTGATATAATTGACCGGGGCCTTGTGAGCGCCGATATAGCGGCACAAGCATTTGCGCGATTCAACGAAGAGATGGCCCTCTTAATCCCGATGGTGGTCTTCCCTCACGGGACGAAGATGGAGGACGTCCGGCAGAAGAAGCCAGTGCTATTCCATGCAGTTATCGCTGTTGCCGTAGGGACGATTCAACCACAGGCTCAGATCCCGCTCGTCAATGATTTCTATAAAGTCATAGCAGAACGGGTTGTCGTCAAAGGGGAGAAATCCCTTGAGCTAGTCCAGGCGCTCTTGGTCTGCTGTAACTGGTACACGCCTCCCGACAACTTCGAAGAGCTGAAATTCTATCAGTTGACGCATATGGCCGTCACCCTGGCTATGGATGTGGGTCTGTATCGGAAATCAATGCCGCGAGGGAAGCAGATGAATCTGCTCAAGGACATTATAGCGAGGAAGTCGTCTGAGGTCCTGGATCCGGACTCTCCGGAGACGAGGCGAACCTGGTTGGCATGCTATTTCGTTGCAGTTCAGTATGTACTCACCCCCTGCTTCTCATTCTCCCAGGAGTAGCTAGCTAACCTATGTTCTAGGGTTGCCGTGTCTCTTCGACGAGTCAATCTTGTGCGATGGCTTCCATACATGGATGAATGCATTGAGATCCTAGAGAAATCCCCAGATGCATTGCCTTCCGATAAAACGATGGTCCGGTGGGCCAAGCTAGCACAAATCATCGAAGAGATATACGTTCAATTCGCGAGCGATGACATTCCCTCGGTTGTGTCCTTTTCGGACCCGAAGTCCCTCTACACTCTCAAGGCACTGGAGAAGCAGTTGGAGCAGTGGAAGAGGGAAACGTTACCGGAGCATTCTTCTCGTAAGCAGTCACCCACACCTAGTTCATGTTCTTGTGCTCACCAGGGGGATCAGCTATCATTCAACAAGCATACTGCATTGTCAACCTCTACCTGCACGAAAACGCCATGCATGTTGATTATAGCAAGGACGAGGCGCGGACCACCGGGGATGATGTTGCTGGTCCTACTAGCGCAACACACATCAGTGCCCTCAGCTCCTGTCTCACTGCTATCCACGAAGCCCTCGATACAATCTGTGCGATTGACACTAAAAAGCTAGTGTCCGCACCGACGGTCACTCTTGCGCGCACGTCTTTTGCCGTCGTCGCGCTAATCAAACTCTACGCCATGGTCTTCACGCCGGAGACCCGTCTGGATCAAGTGATGGATGCGGGCAGCCTCAAGATGGAATACTACCTCGACAAAGTTATTCGCCATTATGCGGTCGCCGGAGAGCTCCCCGGCGGGCGCACTCCAGCCAAGTTCGGAGTGGTGCTGTCCATGCTCCGCAACTGGTTCATGAAGCGCAAAGACCAGGGCCCGGTGTTGAAGGAAGCGCTCTCGGTATGCCGCGCTTCGTCGGATTGTCAAAGCCACCCCGACGACAAAGGCCAAGTAAGTGCGCCAGGTCATAAACCGGCCGTTTTCCTTGGTACCTGTTTTCTGCTGCATGAACACCACCGCTAACATCCCACAGAAGAACCATAGCGGCTCCAGCCAGACGCCCTTGCACCTTTTAAGTGAAGTAGCCATGGGCAGTAGCTCACGAAGCCACTCCTCGCCCGGAAATCTGTCAACGGCAGGCGAACAACGACCCATCCCCTACCCGACAGCTCCCGGTTTCAACAGCAACAGCAGCAGTAATCACCCTACCGCCACGAACCAACCCTCCGTCTCCTCCACCGACCTCACATCACACTCCCTAGGCCCCAACCCCGGTAGCCTAGGAGCCCCAACCAGTGCAGCCGACTCAACCACCGAACCCTGGACCCCTTACGCCGCTCCCGCTCCCGCTCCCGCTCCCGCCCCCTCCCGGGATTACTACCCCATCTTCAGCTCCGGCATGTCCGACCTCCCCCCCGGCTACACCGATTCCACCAGCGCCAGCGCCAACGGCGGCGGCGGCGGGATGATGTTCCCGCCGCAGGGCTTCTTCGTGCCTGAACTAGGCGTCCAGATGGGGTTTGACCCGGAGAACCTGCTTACGCTGCACAGCATGATCGGCGACGGGTTCTTGAATCTTCCGTTGCCGGCTGACGATGGGATGGGCTTTTATTAGGGGGCGAGGGAAGTATTTATACCCTATACCATATACCGAATACTATAATGTTCGCCGTTTCTGCTCAAGGGAATGATTCCCAGTGTTCATAGGAATGTAATATGATATCCCTACTCTTGGTCTTTGCATTTCACTTTTTGAGAGTGTTTCAAAGTGGTAGGCCGGCCTACATCTTATAACGCTTGGGCGTTTCACCAAAGAAGAAAAGAAGGAAGGTACATGTCTTTTCTGGAAGTGAGTCGTAGATTCCTGTCCCGGGGTTGCGTATATGGGTCTGCTAGTTACAGCTCGAAAACTGGATCTTGAAGGAGTACGGGACCACGGGCCACACTCTCTGTACACAGGCCGAGCGAGCGAACAGACAAACAACCGAAGGCGCAAGCAAAAGTAAACCCAAAGCAAACTCAGTAAAGCCCACTATAGCTCCCTCCCTACCTACCCTACCATCCAACAACGGTCCGATTCTAGCAAGCCAACACCCCCCAGGATCATCCCTGTTCAATTTTCTTGACATGAACAAGCGGAAGCAATCATTATTCTCTGGGTTGGGCATGCGCACTAAGATTTCATCACGTGCGTAGCGCAACCCTGATCGCTTGCTGGAGTGATACTAACTATACTACTCCCGAGTACTTACGTTTTGCCACGGGCCTCGGAATCACATGGTCGGTCGATGGGCTTGTTTCGTTTGAGATGGGCAGGGGGGCTTTTGAGAGGGCACCGTGGTTTGATTTGGTTTAATCCCTCACGCTGCATTTTGACTGGGAGGGAGGGATGGATCCCGTCTCGGGATTTCGGGCCTGGCTTGGAGGGATTTTTGGGTGGTGTTTACAGTACATAAGCTAGTGTTGTCAAGCAGGGTGTCCGTGAACAGGCTGGATAGATCTGCTCAGACTGGGCTTGATGAAAGAAACCTTCGGACGCTGCTCTTGAGAATATGCCAGGCTAATTGCCGCGGGTAAAGGGCAGCCTGCCATTTATCCTAAAATTGGGGACCAGGGTGTTTTTGCCTGTCTACGTTCATGGTGCTCAGGGATAGACGCTCGGGTGAATTGCTTGAAATAGTATTGGTTGGGGTGGAGTTGACCGCATGGTGAAGTTTGTCTGTACTAAATTCTCGAATTTATTGCATTTTGCAATCGCTAGTTAGACATTAGTGCAGGAAGCCATACGTGTATAGTGATGCTTTCCCAGGACCGCTCGCGTGTACTTCAGGTCCGACAGGTTCTATGTTGTAACAATCAAATAAACTTTCAGGCGAGCTTTGCATCCTTTTGCGGTCGCAGGAAATAAGAGATAGACGCATTATGCATTGTCTAATCTTGATATGGTTCGCTCGTTCTGCCAGTTGAAAGCCGCTGTGCATGTGCCTTTGAGGACTTGGTTGGATATTCTGTGGTTTTCCACATGCAGCCAGCAAGAGTATCAATCCCTGTACAAAGGATCTTGCTCAGGTGGCAAAGGCACATTAGGCTGGCCGGTGTATTGCTGGCCACCATGTGATGCCGAGGATGATTGCACAGGCATCAACATAACAGGATTGACTTTCTGTAGCATAAGAACTGGAAATCCTCTGCTACAAGTCAACAGTCTGTTGCATCAGTTGGACTTATGAGATTCAGAAAATGAGATTCAGACAATGGGAGTGCGTCGGACGCAGCGAAAGCACTTATACCGAGGATTTTGATACCTTGGCCTCATCTCGCAGTATGCTGCCAATCTTGGCTGAGCTTTTGTACAACAAATGCCCAAGGCCACCCATTCTCAGCCTCGGTCCTGCGCAGAAAATCTAGTAGGCATGTCTGAGCCAACGGGTCACGGATCCATATACCGCCTGCGAGTTGTGCTGTCAGCTACCGTCTCTGAGCAAGGAGCTTCACAGGTGACAACGATGGCATTGTCCAGGATATGCATGTCTTACAAGCGCAGAGTGTATGCCCTGCCATAATCCGCAGCGCTGGGTCGTTCTCTGCCGACAGAGCTATGCCAAATATGACTTCAAGATTGAGGATAATCTCGTCCTAGAGGATTATGAGTCAAGGTTCTATAATGGCGCTTCTGTAGGCTTCTATAACAAACCTCGATCATCTGGATGCCCTCTCGAAATTGCGGTGACGATTGTAAGGCCTGAAGTTCATGCTGCTGGAACAAGGCCTTTGCTATGGAGATGTATTGTATCGCAGCAGCTAGACTTAGTATGTCAGCCCTAGAGCATAAGCCGGGAAGGCCTTGAATCATACCGTGCAGTGAATTGGTGAACCAAATGAACGGAAAGGGCCTTCCACGTCCAAAATCTGGCCTCGAATAGTGTAAAGGCTTGAACGTATCTGGTCTCGTTGCTTCCCAAGTGCCAATTCGCTGTCTCAAAGCACTCCCATCAATCGCTTCTATGTGCATTGAGTTGTTCGCCTCGTAGCAGTAGTTGATCGTCTCAGCGAGGAGCCAAATGGCCTTGTGCGTCCATTCTCGGTCATCCTGAGTTGTCCTATGCTGCCATGCATGGTATAGCTTCTCTGCAAATGGACTCAGAGTCAAACGCAAAGGTCTTTGATACATTAGAGCGAATTGTATATCCTGCATCACGAACACCCAGAAAGAGGCTTCTGCAAGTCCTCCAGATACTGCGCAGTCCAGTTGAGAGCTGATATATACGGATCCGGCGAGAAGGTGACTCTGGAGGTCGTTTGAAGGGCTGTGAGCTGTACATGGTATGTGAGCATGCAGTAAATACAGCGCAACCAGCCCGGCTTACAGGATATTTGCTCGAAGAACCGCAATATTACGGTGGAAGTAAGGAGTATCTCGATGCTGATGCCAAAGTCTCTATTCTCCAGGACCGACTTGAGAATTCGGATGCAACGTTCATGGTATTCATCGGCAGTCTCCGGAGGTACTGCATGATTCGTGTAGGAGAGGTGACGCGCTGAGATGGCAAGACACGCGTACAATAGGAGAGGGTGTGAAGGTGCTCGTTCGGCCACATCCACGGAAAAGTGACTTTGGTCATCGCAAACGTCTAGCTAAAATTGCTGATTAGCTGAAGTTCCAGCGTAGTACATGTGGGACGAGGTAAAGCACCCAGGGACCGAGTGTCTTCCGGAAATATCGAAGGAGGAAAGCTTCGTTGAAATTTCGCAGCTTCTGCGTGCTGGCGAAATCTGGAGACGGGAAGGCTCTGAGCGGGAAAACCAGGCGCTGAGCTGAACGGGCTCGAGACGAGCCTGCGACTCTCGATGAATGAGGCGGATGCGAGGCTGATGATAAATGTTGTGCCCCGTTGGGCGATGGAGGAGAGTTTTCGGGCGCATGTTTCAGATCGAAGGGCGAACCATCGAGGGGCACCACGCGATAATCTGCCGCTGTCCGATCCGTCTCATCTTCGAAAGAAACTTCATGTGCCGTTCATCAGTGGAAAAGGCCTTCTTCATCTCCAGTAGGAACAAACCTTGAGTTGGAAACGGAACCCACACTTGATCGGTTGGAAACACGAGGTCGCTTTCTCCGTATCGCGGGGGACCGCTAGGTCGCAGCGAAGGGTTCTGGCCATGGCGAAAAGTGACTTCTTCTTGTCTCGTAGGCGCAGGTATGCACTCTCGTCCCGATCGTCGACAGCGAAGGCACTGGTCCTCGGTCTTATCACCTGGTATCAACATTAGGGGACGTTGAGCTGGGGATTCTTCTCGACTGACAGAGCTTGGTCGAGAGGGGCTTGAGGAGGATTTACATTTGATATGGCGCTGACGGCACGTCAGACTAAATAGAGAGCAACATGGTTAGAATGACGATTCGATAAGCACAGCATCAGAGCGTCGAAGAACAGCGCAAATATAACTTACCATCCCCTCATCACGTTGTGCTCAGATTCAGTGCTCGGGCTGACAATCGCGATAGCCCTGTAAAACAAGCCAGATCAATAGCCAGACAAAGCCATTGGCATGAGGTATTAAAGATTTAAAGAGTAAGACCGAACAGCAGCAGCAATAGTCCAGGCCTACTAAGATGCAGCTAGAAGGGTGACCGCCCCAGCAACAATGATTATGATGGGCAGAATAACGTTCAAACGGTTAATTACCCAACAGAGAATGGTTCGTGCGGAGCGGAGCTCGCCATGGCCTGCAAAGTGCAAAAGCAAACTAAGAAGTGGAGGAAAGAGGCAAAAGGGTAAAAGAAAAAGCCCTATATAGATGAAGATTAAGAGAGCCGATCCCACTTTTAGCGTGAACACTGGAGCCCAGCATCATACGGCTCCCGAGGTTCGTTCAGGGGCACATCTCTAGACGACCTTCTCGATGCCTTCTCACCAAGAGAGGGGAGATGACAGCCCACCGTGCTCTACCATCTTGCTTTCCTAGGTGGGTTTAGGATGACACAAGACAGAGCTGCAGCAGATGAAGCCATCCGTTGCCTATTCCTTAGTCTTGCTGTTCTCCGACAAGCGCAGGGCGATTAGCACAGCCGCGTCTGATCGTTGCCCGAAGCAGAAAATACTCGCAAGCTAACTTGGAAGGGCACCCGCACCGGAGCGTTTCGGTTCGAGCTAGTGAGCAACATTTCGGCACTTTTGACTGCACTTTTCTTGTCCTGAAGTCCCGTTCTTCCTTTAGCATTTGGGATGGAGGCTGGACTTGCTTGCTGAAATAAGTATGGTCTGCTATCGCCCTAGGAGGGGGTCAACCTGACAGCAAGCCACAGGAGGTCTTGGTGGCGCTTATCGGCACCGAGTCCCCAGCATTGCCAATATGCATTTTTTTTTCTCCGAACAAGAGTCATCCGTCTCCCATTCATCGGGCTTTTCACTGGGGATTCCGCTGGCATCCAGCTAGCCGTCACGGTGCAGCTGTGACTAGCTTTGTGATGTGATTGGTGAGTGGTGACATATTCCTGTAAGGTGCAACACTTGTTCACACAAGACTGTGGCGTATGCTTTGTGATGCATCTCACTTGCCTGACGAATGATTCATCCCTCTCAGAAATGTCGGGATGTTTGTTTGTCTCTGGTTCCAATTGAATGCCGCGCGCAGAAGTACAGTACCTTTTTTCTTTTCGTCGGTGGCGCTTCTCCGTGTTTGACGAATCAGGCGATTCGGAATGTTTCTCCTAGTAGAATCATCTGCAGGAAGAATATGACAGACGGTTTTGTTCTTGCGCCAAGAGAAGAGATGAGTATGAGGGTTGGCAGCACATTGCGGCAGGAACCCGTCTCGAGCGAGACATGGCGATGGTGATGAACAGTGTAGACCTTGTGCAGGGGCCTTAATGGCAGTGCTATGATGCTTGTGAGCTTCAGATATCAGCCGTGCACAATAATCGGCCGCATAAGGGGGCCAAAAGGTAGGTGAGGTCAAGATGCTGACAGAAACAACCCTGATGCCGCTTGGCCTAGGCCAGATTCCATCCGAGTTAGGTTTGGGGTGTAAATCAACAATGGAGCCGAAAGCTACGCGAGCCAATTGACAGGTGGATCTTGTTCCAGACCCATCGGAGGGTGACCGAATCTGGGCAAGTAGCAAGTAGCAAGTAGCAGCAGCACCCAGTACAGAGTAGTAGCAGTAGCACGACTCAGTTTTGCGAGCGAGAGGAAGTGAGGAAAGGGCTAGACCAGGAGAAAGGCTTGATCATGGGACAATCCAAGGAAAGTGTGCATTTGTGGCTGGCTTGCATTGCAGATAGGGCGGGCCATGCGAGTATCAGTGCAGATGAACAATGATGAAGGTGAAGAGATAGAAGGAGAGGAGGTAGAAGGGCTGAAGCGGGATGGAATGGATTTCGTACAACTGCCTACTTGAATGCAGCACTTCAAGAGAGAGGATGACTAACTGGAGTGTAGTTCACTTAGCAAAGTACGGGGTATTAACACAGTCAAGGCCATCGTACGCGCACCTCAGGCGGCAGGCAGGGTAGCTTCCTATTGGGGATATGCGGGGGCAAGCAGTGGTAGTTACCTTAGTTAGTGGTAAGTAGTGAGTGTCAGGTGATTTTTCTCTCCCACTAATTTCTCCGCTTCGATTACCTCATTGCTGTAGCTGCTGCTGCAACTCCTGCCAACTTTCACTTGACCTGCTGATATTCTCCTTGCAAAACAGCCATTGACCTTCCAAACTGGCCTGAACATCCCTGCCTCTTGTCCAGCAGTCCCATCTGCTTATCACCACCGTTGTTTGGCCGTCACCCCGAGTCAGAGCTGGCTGGGTCTACGGGCCGAAAACGGGTCGACTCCACCGTCAACCAGCCATCATTTCCACAGCCTGTCTCTGGCGATTGTGCACATCAGCTTGACGATACTTCGGATATAGGTATACAGTACTTCGAAATATATATATTGATAGACGAAAAGCGCCCAAGAACGGGAGGTGCTGAGGTGTATCTGCGCAGGTACAGACTCGACGTTTTTCATCTGGAATGACACTGATAACTAACAAGACAACCAACCAGCTAGAAATGTCTCTCAACCGCGTCTCCTACTTGGAGTCCTGGGAACAGAATCCAGCTGCATTCCGTCGCCAGCCCTATCAAGATGACTCCGATGACGAGGAAAGCTATCATGATCTCCCGGAGCCCTCGCTGTCGTCTTCATTCCAATCCAACATCAGTCGCCACTCTTTTAGACATCGACTGAATTTCAACCCGTATGCAGGACCAGCATGGGGACAGGCCACTGTGGATGAGGCTACCAGTGAGCAGAACCCACCTCTCCAAGTCGCCTCACCCAAGATCAGTACGCTCAATGAGGTTGACAGAGAGGGGGCAACCCCCGAGCAATCTGCGCCGAAGTTGCAGGAGTGGATCGGTGGCCGAGAGACTACGGGCGCGTTTGAGGTAAACCATGTCAAACGCATTGGTAAGTGTTAGACTTTCATGAACGGCTTCAAAGCCACCGTCGTATGCAGTGCAGTACTAATGCACTCGCAGCGCAGGTCTGCGTAGCAGTGGTATACTGTCTACTTGCGGCGGGGATAGTCTTCGGGTTTGCGGCCATCAAGCCGGTCTTGATCAGAGAGGGTGTCTACCGGGACCGGTGTTCGCAAGAAGAGCTTGATAACAATTCCGACGTGTGCTACGGACAAGAGCTTCGGTACGCGCTTCAGACCATCCATTCCTTTTGGAAGACCTAACTAAAGTTGTCTACAGATTGAACTTAATGTTCACCATCGCTGCAGTCGCAACCAACGTCTTTGCTTTACCAGTAGGAACGATTCTCGATACATACGGTCCGCGCGTCTGCGGCATCATTGGCAGCGTCTCTCTTATACTGGGCTCCTTGCTATTTGGACTCTCCGACCAGCTTCCCTTTGACGGATACATGCCCGGGTACCTCTTCCTTTCTCTAGGTGGACCGTTTGTCTTCATCTCATCGTTCCATCTGTCAAACACCTTCCCGACCCGCTCGGGGCTCATCTTATCGACTTTGACAGGCGCATTCGATGCCTCCAGCGCCCTTTTCCTTATATTCCGGCTTATCAACGAGAGCACAAACGGCTGGCTCAGCTCGACCAGGTTCTTCCTGCTCTATCTCATTGTCCCCATTTTCATCATCACTGCCCAGCTCACTATAATGCCGACGACCTCATATAAGACGGCCGGCGAACTTGTGCAGGAAGCGCATGCTCACATCGCAGCCGAAGCCACGGACCACGTCGACAACGCTATCCAGGACCGCAATGAAGGCGAGCGCCAACGTAACGACCGTCGTCTACACCGGCAGAACGTTGTCAGCCAAATTCAAGACCTTCTCTCTTCCCCCACCCTTCAACCACAGTCCTACGATGACATCTCCCCGCTTGAACGCCCGCTTTCTCCCGAACCCATGCCCATCCACATCGCCACCACTGAGTCAACCACCACGCCCCAGTCTGACAAGCCCCACACCGCCGGCGGCGTTTGGGGCGCCCTTCATGGCGCCTCGGCGCTCACGCAGATCCGCACCCCCTGGTTCATCCTGATCACCCTCTTCACTATCCTGCAGATGCTCCGCATCAACTACTTTGTGGCCACGATCCGTCAACAGTACACCTACCTCCTCCACTCCTCGGACCTCGCCGCGACTCTCAACTCGACCTTCGACATCCTCCTCCCGCTGGGCGGGCTCGTCTCCGTTCCCTTCATCGGCACCATCCTCGACTCCGCCCGCACCCCCTCGGTGCTGCTCACCCTCGTCACGACCGCCACCCTGATCGGCATCCTGGGCTGCATCCCCACGGAGGGAGCCGGCTACGGCAACATCGCCCTCTTCGTCCTCTACCGCCCCTTCTACTACACCGCCGTCTCCGACTACGCCGCCAAGGTCTTCGGCTTCCAGACCTTCGGCAAGGTCTACGGCCTGATCATTTGCCTCGCCGGCCTGGGCAACTTCGCGCAGGCCGGCCTCGACGCCCTGACCTTCACCGTCTTCGACCGCGACCCCACCCCCGTCAACGCCCTGCTGACCATCACCACCTTCCTGGTCGGGGTGGCGCTGGTCACCTTTGTCAGCTGGCAGGCCCGCCGGATGGCGGCTACCCGCGGGAAGGCCGGCGCTGCCGCCACGAATGGGACCATGGAGGTCGCCGAGAGTGGTCTCAGCGTTCCCGGCATCCATGACGGCGTGGACACAAGGGATTGGGGCCGCCAGCAGCAGCAGCAGCAGGGTGAACGCGAACCGCTGCTCCGACAAGGCAATGACACATCTGCTTCCTACGGGGGCACTAGACCCTGAAAAATTGACGACCTTGATGATGATGATGTTTCTTTTCACCTACTACGGTAAAGAGGAAAAAAAAACCACAGGCGGCTCTTTGTTCATCTATTTTTGGTTTCCCCCCGCTTCGGTTTAGCCCGGTCCAGGGTCACACAGCGTACATCTGCAGCATTAGTTCTTCGCCCCAGAGATGTAGTCTTAGCCCAGATTCCTTATCCCTTTACATTTGTACATGATTTGATAAAGAATGTATATCCAGCAGCATCACTAAGAATTACTCGGTCATCAAACTCCCGAGGGGTTTCAAATTAGGTTGGTTGAATAAATCTATATATCACAGTTCCACGTGGGAAGGAGAAAAAAAAAAGATCGAGATCCTGTCACAGCAATAGGGCGAGACAATTGGAAGAGATAAGTAAAATGAAATAAGGATGAGGCGGCTAAAAGAAGTAGTG